AGAACAAAAACCCTACGCGAACCGCGAATGTTTCACCTCGCCTTACCAAGATTCTTTTGTCCCCCTCCCGCCCTTCTTCTCTCACCATCCCGCTCAGCCCCTCACCCTTCTCTCCCCCCCCCCCCCCCCCGCCTCCTCTGAATCCTTCTTTTAGGGTAATTATTTGATCTACCATAATCGCTGCCTCTACTATAGTGGATGGTTTGCGATCCTGTATCAGCCAGCGAAAATCAGAAGGCACCAATTGGAAAAATTGTTCCAATTTTAAAAGTTCTCTCAGCTGTTGGTAATTTTCCACCTCAGACGTCCTTAGCCAACTGTCGAATAGTTGAGACAACTTAGAGGCCACCTGAGCAAAACTTTGGTTTTTATCTCTTTTTAAAGTCCTGAACTTGAATCTGTAGAATTCAGGAGTTAATCGAAACTCTTGTAGAATTTGTTTCTTAAATAAATCATAATCTCCATAAGACTCCTCAGGCAATTCTCCATAAATTTGTAAGAGTTTTCCACTTATCTGAGGCCTTAAGTATGTCATCCATTTTTCCTTAGGAACCCCAAAATCTTTACAACATCTTTCGAATGAGATCAAAAATTTCTCTACATCATCATCCTTGGTAAATTTAGGGAATCTCCTTATTATATCTGGGGTATCCACTCCAGAGCTCCCTTCTTGGATGTTACTGGATGTTTGAGACAAAGCTAATTTCTGCTTTTGCAGCTCAAATTCCATTCTCCTCAATTCTATCTCCTGTTCTCTCTCTTTCTGTCTTTCTTCAAACTCTCTTTGTTTTTCTTCAAATTCTCTTTCCCTTTGTTTTGCCTCCATCTCAAGTTCTCTCTCTCTTCGTTTTGCCTCCATCTCAAGTTCTCTCTCTCTTTGTTTTGCCTCCATCTCCAATCGTTTCATCTCTAGTTTGTACTTATAAGCCATTTCTGACACAGGCACTGGCTCCGTTTCCGCTTCAGAGCCCGAACTTTCTTCTTGGTCTCCCTCTGTTTCCTCAACAAGCTTCTTCTGTCGCCTGGTAGCCATATTCCAATAACTTTTACCTCACAACTTATTCTTAAAATAATCTTAAGGCACTTGATCAGTTGTTAAACGAATCCCGTCGTCTGCCACCAAAATGCAAAGGAGTCCCTACAAGCCGGCACCAAATTGTAAAAGACTCTTGTATCAATACCACTGGATGCCACCCTATTTGTGTTGTGAGGTAATTATGATAGATTGGGTACACCGAGCGTAGAATAAATGGAGGTGAGGCAGTTTTAAAAACCAAAGAGAACAAGTTTATTTGAAACAAAGCGTATGGTTGCAGTTTGATGTTAAGCTTGGCAAATACTTAGAGAACGATACATGTAACTTGGTTGTGATACAGTTCAGACTTTCGATGTTACAACTTATGAAACTCTCGCTGTGGTGAAGCACTTCAATAAACAATGTTTTACTGTGGTGAATAGTCTCCCCGTTTGATTCTTCTATGATCAAACACCAGATCTCTAGTTCTTTTAACTAGGGGTCTAAACAAGCCTTTGTTAGTTCTTTCTAACTAAAGAAACTAATAAGGTTTTCCTCTTCAGCTTTCCTAACTGAAGAAATCTCTGACTATTCACGAACACTGTCTCTCTCCTGACTCAGAGTCTCCAACCTGACTCTTCCCTTCTCAGAGTCTCCAACCTGACTCTTCCCTTCTCAGAGTCTCCAACCTGACTGACTCTTAACTGTCGCTTTTCAAAAACACCCTTCTCTAAGCTCCTCCCACTCCTCTGCAGCATCGTTTCCATGGTAACACACTCCTCACAGCTAGGCCGCTCCAGCCTTAGGGCAACCAATGCAAACATAAATACAGTTATAATCATATTATTATAATCACTTCTGTACAGGAGGCTTTTCATTATAATAAAATAATATGACTGCACTATTTACAACAACAAAGTTTCCACGACACAAATAAAGTTCTTTATACTTTCTTCTTTGCTTCCACAAATTCTTTATACTTCCTTCTTTGCTTCCACAAGTTCTTTATACTTCCTTCTTTGCTTCCACACTGGGCTTCTTTCTTATGCAGATAAACAGCTTCTCACACTTATAAAGGAGCTTCACACAGTAGCTTTTAACACAGCAGCCTTCACACCGAAGCTTCATACACGATGGCCTTCAACCTGGGGCTTCTCTCACCAGGCCTACTCACACTGAGGCCTTTCTCCCACTAAGGCCTCCTCCCACTGAGGGCTCTCTCCAACTGAGGCCTCTCTCCCACTGAGGCGAACTAACACTGAGGCCTACTAAACTACAGGCACATCTGCTTATATTGAACTGCAGCTTTTGCTGAGTCATTGTATCAATTTATCCCTTTCAGGTATTTATGTAACAAAACCAAAACGTATTTTAATATTACTAGCCATGATGGCAATATAATCATTAAAACTTCAATGTCAATTGCAAGAGAACACAAACAAAATATGTTGCATACATATCCTGCCAGTGAGCTGCCCTCATCAGCAGCTGTATGGTCATGTTGGGAAAAGATCACTAGTCTGGCCCAGCTCAGCTCTTCACATTCAGTCTCACATTAAGAGCCTAAATAGCCCAGAAGGGGAGTCACATTTAAAATGGAAGACAGCAAGGTAAACCAAAAATGTATTCTGCTTCCACAATGCTTATTTCCTGCATTGGTACAATAGACTTAAATGAGTAAACCTTTTAGAAGTTTTGGACAAGGGTTCTCTCGCCCCTTTCGCTGTCACCACTCACCTCTCATTTGCAGGAGTATTCTCTGGGATAAACACACTGTAGGACATATTCGTGAATTGTGGAGGCCTGGACCCAGCCAGGATGGAAATGAAGGCATAGGGGCTTTTGCTACCATATTCATCAATGGCCAAGACAGTGACCACATACTCCTGGTTCAAAGTTAAAGGCAAGCCAGTGGTCAATAGGGCACCTGTATCCGTATCTATATCAAAGCGTTCTTCACCACCTGTTGAGTGAAAGTTTACCAAAAGAGAAGTCACAAATTATGGGGATGTGTTTGTCATCATCTTTTATAATTTTTATAATACCTCACCGTTCTTCTGCTTGATATGTTTCCTCATTTTATTGCTCTTATCATATGTGTCTCCCCATCAAGTGCAAAGATAGGAAACATGTGTCACCCAAAATATTGTTGGACTATAGTTCCCATTAATCCCTCTCAATTGGCTTTGCTATCAGATTTCATGAGAGTTGTTGTCCAATAGCATTTGGAGACCACACACAAGGAATGGTGATTTTTCTAGGTAATGATTAGACTTTTTAAAAGAAAGATCTTAATTTTTTCTGTAACAGATTGATAATTTCTTATCCAGAATTCTATTCTCTAAAATATTCCCAAATCCAAAACTGCCCAATGGGTGGCTCAGATAGTAACAGCCTTGCTTACTGATGATTCAGTGAATACAAACTTTGTTTCAAATTATTACATTTTCAAAGTTTTTTAAAAAAAAATAAACATCCAAGAATACTTTTGAAAGTAAAAGGTACAGAATTATTTAGGCAGGACAGAGCATTTGCTTACCTGCAATCAGGGCATATGATATCCCAGCACTGGAATTTTCATTGTTACTGTAATGCGCAGCAAGTTGATAGACCAAAGTGCCCGCTCGAGCTTCAGGATCAACCCGTGCCAAAAAAGGGTATGGATACATTCCCCAAGAGATGGGCTCCTCTTCAACTGCAATGACCACCACTCGACACATGTACCAGTCGCTCTCTGTAAGGTGTACAGAAAAGGTTTAAAGTACAGTTAAAATAAGCAGATATTGGACTGAAGACTTTTGAAAAACCAAGAACCTGAGATTCTTGAATAAGATTTTAACATTCAAGGAAACAAGACTTTGAAAAAGTTACTCTTTAGATTGTAACTCCCAGAATCCCTTATCTAAGCTGGCAACAGTTGGAAATAGCAACCTTTGTCAAGCCTCCACTAGTTATTCGTTATGTATATAATTCAGATTGCTTACTGTATTGTATATGTGTGTATCGGTATGCAGATTTTTAACAAGGTTATACATTTTCAAAGATCATAAAATCTCCGAAAGGTTATAGAGATTTCCATTTTTCAAAAGCAATTATGCCCCATGTTGGAAGAATGGTAGGATATAAATAAAATTAAATATTAAATGAAATTTAAAATTCTGAGAACTGTAACCAAACCAAGCAACTTGATCAAGTTCTGCTAATACCATGCTAAGCTAAATCAGTTCAAATGCATGCCATTCTGGTAGGCTATATGTCCATTTCCTGAGGCTCTGGAGACAATTTTCTTGTCTCTCCTCATCCCAGTTTTCACAAGAGAAATATGGCTGCTACCCTTTTATTTATTTATTTATTTATTTATATTATTTATATTATTATCATGTCACAAAAGGCACCGTGGCCCTCACTGCAGGATGAGACTAAACTCACAGAAACCACTCTTGGAGCTCATCTACTGATTATACACAGGTCACTTCATAGCCAGAGGACAACAGCAATCACAACTGATGCTAGCTGGCATGTGCCTGGGCCTCGGTTTTTATGAAACCCAATGAGCTCTAAACCCCAGCAACAAAAGGCAACAACAAAAACAACTTTCTGAACCTTGAACAGGTTTATTCTTTTCACAAACACAGCTCACTTATAAGTGCAGCATAAAGCCTGACCATTATTTCCTTTCAGCATAACATGAATGTATCTATGGTTGGAAGATGCAACCTGAGGTTGTCTATGATGTGTGTAGCCACCAGTCACTATGGATGACTGACTACTGAAGACCCACTGAGGCCCCTTCCACACAGCTGAGTAAAATCCCACATTTTCTTCTTTGAACTGGAATATATGGTAGTGTGGACTCAAATAACCCAGTTCAAAGCAGATATTGTGGGATTTCCTGCCTTGTTCAATGGGATTCACTATGACCCATGATTTCACATACCATATCTATGTGTAATCCTGGAATGTATCCCCCTTGGACATGGGGAGCAGTACTGTTTGAACATTAATAGAAAAATGCATTTAATTCACCTTTCAATGTAACTCCTGAGCAAATTCAGATCACAAAGCAATTTGCAGTCATAAATTTAATGCTTTCATGCACCTATGGATACTGTACAACTACTTGAAAAATCTGCTCAAATTTACTTGAAGAAGCTCACCATCCCTTTGGGGAAATGCTTGGAAATGGGAAAATATGTACATTTCAGATATAAACATGTACATCTTCAAAACGCATGCTTAGAAAACATAAGGAAAACTCCCTACAAAGAAAAGAAAAAATTGGCAACTGGAAAACGAAAAACCATCCTGAGACTGACAGATGTGAACCTTCCTATGTTGAAACTCAGGGTTCCAACTCTGCCTCCTGTTTCATCAGAAAAGCAAAGCAAACCCCTCCAAAAACAAATAAAAGAACCGAAACCCATAACCAACCAAGCATTGCAAACTACATAATCAATATTGTCATGTGTTGTTTTCTTCCACTGAAACAAACAGTTTGATGTTGTGGCCAGGCTATTTGTCAATATCGCTCAGTCACACATCACATTCCCAAAATGTCAGAGTCACAAAGTCAGCCTGGTTTTTTAACCTAAATGTTACAGTGTTAGAAACCAGGTTGCCTCCTTACATCACTGTTGGTCTGAAAGTGAAGCAGGTGAAAGTTTGAAAGCTTGCATAAAGTATTTTGTGTGCGTTTCTGGTTTTGTTGATTTTGGACTTCGTTATGTTTTGCAGCACTTGATATTTGCTGAGGTTTGGTTTCAGAATCCTTCGTGGATATCAAAATCCTTAGACGTTCAAATGGTGTAGTAAAATAGTGTCTCTTATATAAGATGGTAACATCTAGGTTTACTTTTGTGATTTATTTTGGGCAGGGAGATAATTTCAAGTCATGGATGGATGAATCTATGGGTGCAGAATGAAAATTGGAGGATTGACTGGATGCCTACTGGATATAAGAGGGGTATTTTTAAAGTAAGGTCCGTTTGAACATAAGTACACAACGAAAGTTTATTTCAAAAAAGTAAATTTATTTTCAGAAAATACATACTTCACTCTATTTTTCGACACAGTTGCCAAGTTTGTTCAAACACTTATCATACCTCTGAACCAATTTTAAAATACCCTCTTCATAAAAACTTGCCGCCTGCTCCGATAGCCAAGAGTTCACTGCCGTTTTCACATCGTCGTCATCATGGACGTTGTCACGGCCATCTTTGAATTGTCGTACCCACTTACGCACTTTGCTTTCACTCATAACAGTATCACTGTATACTTCACAAATCTGTCGATGAATTTCTGCAGCAGGCAGGTTCCTTGCTGACAAAAACCGTATCACTGAGCGAACCTCACATGCGGCGGGTGAGTTGATAGTCTTAAACATTTTTAAAGCACGGAACAGAACCGTACAGGTTAGTTACAGAGCGGAAACTGAGCATAGTTGTTCCCGAGTCATGCCGGTACACGACGCACGCACTCGTTGCGGTATGCGCGCGAACTACTAGTATCTACAACAAAATGGACCTTACTTAAAAAATACCCCTCGTATTTTAGGGACAATGAGTAACCAATCTCTTGATATCTCAGGTTGTTTTGGATTCCCATTTTGATGTAAAGAAAGAAGCTGATGCAAGCCCTGTAATGCCAGTCATTACAATAAATGTTTAAAAGAATGTATTTGGTAAATCTCATGAAAGCTCCTTCCTGTTTCCATAAAGCAGCAGAAAGGTACAACTTGCAGTTTAGGGACAGCTTTGCTTCTCAAGTAGGGCAGACTCTAGGAACCCGGGATGATCAAGGAAAAGCAAACAAAGAAAGGATTTAAACAGGAGAATGGGAAAGCCTTTGGGGCCAGCAGGGAAGCTGCAGTCCTAGGAATTAGGAAGGTGGTGGCTTTTGCGCTCTTTCATAATTCAGACAAAATTCAAAGATTAAAATGGGCTTTGTAATGATCTGTTTCCTTTGCTAATTGGCTCTGCCACATACTAAATTAGACTCCTGGCGATAGGGAGGGGCACGGGTCTTTTGCCCATTTATACATAGAGTGTTTTGGAGAGCTCAGCACTAGGCTTGAAAGAAAGGGTAGTGAATAGAGAGTACAGCAGCCTCCTTCCCAAATAATGTTGAAATCCTTGGGTTATAATAGTGATACATCCGCTCAAACAAAAAGTGCAGACAGCATTGTTGAAATTGTCGAGAGCAGAACTAAATCATGTTTGCCCGACATACACAATGATGTGCAATATTGTGAGAACTTGTTTTTGCCGGAAGAGATGCAGCAGCTAAATGAACTATCAGAATTTAAAATACAGCTAAAGAAAGATCAATTTCTTCAGGCAGGTCTACCCAGTCAACTTTGAACCATGGCTTTTGCATTTGCATTCTATTTTTATCTCTGAATCATGTGCTTTGGAGTATATATCTTATAGTGGTATGCTCTGATATATGTATTTTGTTGTATGTATTTTATGTTGATGTGTTCTAACTGTGTTGTACCCCACCTCAAGCCCATGGGAATAAGAGGATAACAAATAAAAGTTGTTGTTATAGTTATTTAAGCAAAATAGTTCTACAAGCAAGATACAGAAAGGACAACCCATAATAAATATCAAGTCACAGCAATTCCACAATGGAGTGAAATCTGAATGAAATGTGTTTACCTTATGCTGTTTACATATTTAATCCTCAGCCCACCTTCTCTCCTAGTATTGTGACCCAAAGCAGCTTATAAAATAAAGCAGAAACAGATAAAGCACGTGAAACTGTCACATTTATCAAGCTAGGCATAAGTCATTAACTGAGTAAGCTTGCCACCACCATTTAAGTCCTTTTAAATGTAAGTCCAGTTTACAAAAACAGCAGGAAAACTTCACGGGTTTCCACATCTGGGGTGGCCTTCAGGGATAGCTTTGTTTCTTTCCCATGCAAATTCCTCATATTCCCACAGTTCTTTACAACAAAATCCACTGAATACACAGAGCAACACAACAACCCAAATCAATGAACATGATGCTTTCTGTAATGAGTTGCAGCTATCACAGTGGCTCATGCTTTGACTATGTAAGCAGCACTTGAGTTCAAGGGCATGCCCCTGTCGCTTGGGAATTTTGAACTTGGTTGTTAGTAAGAGACAAAGCAAGAGGGAATAAAAAGTTGTAATCCTTTGATGTAGGGATATACACGTGGTTCTTCCTCTGTACGTTGTTTCCATTGAAAGAAACGTAACTGGTGCACTGCCTACAGTCATAGCATACTGAGGCCATTGCAAACAAATCAAGCAGTAACATTGACTCCACTATTTTCTGCATGCAAAACTGACACTGGGAAGAAGCAAAGTGTGCACACACAAGTCCAAAACAGTCTTGAATTTCTCCTTATTTGTAAAATATAGTATATTTTTAGCATTTTTGAACTTTTCTGTCCCAGCCTGGCTGTAAGGTGGGTTAGGTCATAAAGCTAAAGCCAGTTGCATAAAAGAGCCAAGATCAACCTTTGTAGGAGATCCTATAATGGAAACTTGAAATGAAGACATTCAGAGACATGCCAAGCTTGCTAGATGTTTGATCTGTTTCACTTTTCACTCCTTTAAAAAAAAGTAAGCTTGCAAAAGTAAGACCACTAAGGATTTGCCTATCCTATCACCCATGGCTTTCAATCCTAGCTAGTAGAGTTTGTAGTTAGCAGTATATGTATGAAGCCAATGTGGTCATTCATAGTCCTGTAATGCATGTATGT